TGAAATTAAAGTTATAAAATAATTTTTAAAAATATATATTAATATTGATGATTTTAAATTTAACTATTATAGAATTAATTACTCCTATTATATCATGAAATAAATAATACTTTATATAAAATATTTTTTTATTTTATTAAACTATTTATAATTACATTATGTATAAAATTTATTCGATAAGAATTACAGTTTTTATAATTTTTTAAGCGTATAATAAAATTAGATAAAATATTATCAAATATAAAATTGATATTACAGTGAATTTAATTTACTTTATATTAGTTTTTTAAGAAAAATATTAATAAAATTAGATAAACACTAAAAAAAAAAAAACCCTGTATGAACAGTGACAATGAATTGCACTGTTCATGTTAATTGCACTCTTCATTAAACAGTGCAATTAACGCAAACAGTAAATGAGAAGCAAGCTTTTTATTAACTGTGTTTTAACCGTGAGAATTGTGTGGGATCCATATACAGTAAATCAATTTTTTTCTTTAGAAAATGGCTGCAAACTGCGTTTTAATTAGAACGCAGTCGCAGCCGCGTAAAATGTTTTATTTTAAAACACGTGACAGTTTCAGAAAACTACTTTAAAAATTAAAGTAATTACTATATTTTTTAAAAATAAATCAAATCATTTTATTGTTAAGTCCATTATTTTAACAAGTAGAGGCGTCACCAAACTCGGTTATTCTTGAAATAAAAATTTTATTTTTGTTAAATTAAAAGAATTTTTATTTCTATATTTTAAAAATATTTTTAAAAAATTTAAATATTATTTTATTTACTTTAAATTAATATATTTTTAAATCATTTTGATGTGCTGATGTTAAAAATAATTTTTAAAAAATAAAAAAATTATTTATATATATTTTATCATAAAAAATTATTTAAAAAATAATTATAATTACACTTTCAAACAAGCGAGTAAAAATATTTGACTTTAAAAAAATTAAAAAATTTTATTTATTTAATTATTTAAAATAGTTTTTAAAACCATGGTGGTAACTTAACATAAACTATTTTTAATAGATTTGTTTGAAAATCAAATTTTCTTACTAGCTTTTAAAATTAAAATATAATAGTTTGACTTTCAGCTAACTTTTAAAATTTTCTTACTAACTTTTATGTATATGATTTATATGTTTGTTATACTAATTTAACTTATTGATGGCCAATTTCTTTGAGTGTTTTTATCCTGTTTCATTATACTAATTTAATATATTTTGAATTAAGCTTTATTGTTTATTCTCTTTTGAAAAATTAACTTTTTTCAAGTTTTCATGATATTTTTTTTTAAATGTTGATTTATTTATTTTCTTTACTTATTATTTTTATTGCTTGTTTAAAAAAAAAATCAAGTCGTATTGTTTAAAAAAAAACATGCTTATTGCTTAATGTTATTTTTTATGCAAAAATAATAAGTGTGATATATTTTTCTTTCAAAATCCATCTTTGGATTGTAACAGTAAAAGATAATCTACCACACTTCACACTTCAAAAGAGACTCTTATTTGATACAATCAATGATGTGTGGTTATAATTAGTTTTTCCAAAGAAAATCTAATTTTATTTTTTTACAAATAAATTTTTTTAATAACATGAAATTGTTGAAATATTCTTATGTCAATCACATTTAAAAAATAAAATAAAAAAATATTTTATAAGTTTTTATTTTTATTTTTTATTCAAGGTTTCATTTAGAATGAATTTTTAATTTTATTTAATTTAATTTTGAACTTTTGACTAGAGTCATAGAAATATTTGATTAAAGATATTTTGACTTAAATTATAATTTGTTATAAAATTGAATAAAATTTTAAAATTTTAATTCACATATTCTAACATATGCAGTATATTTTTAAAAATAGTTTGAGCTAGTTTTATTAAACATACTTTTAACTTAAAATTGTTTATTTATATATATAAAAAAAACAATTTTCTGAAATTTTGAGCAAACATTCAAATGCTCTTTACATCAGCGATGGATCAAAAAGAGCCCAGTAGCCGACCATTACATTTTGCAAAATGATCTGGGCTTTGACAAAAAGAGCCCAGTAGCCGACCATTACAACCGACCATTAATTGATAGGTGAGGTAAGCATAATAGTAGAAGTCTGATTGGGCCCTTTAGGTTTGGACAGAGGATATATGGGCTTAGCAATAGTAAAATCCACGAATCTAACGGGTTAATAATGATTAAGAATTTGTTTGTTTTTTAAAATTTTATTTATTCAAAAATATATTAAAATAATATTTTATTTATTTTTTCAAAAAATATTTTTTATATCATCACATTTTTTTATTTTTTCAAAAATTATTTTTTATATCATCAAATAAAAAATCCAAAAATATAAAAAATTAATTTTATTTCTAAAAAAATTATATTATTAACAAATAAGGTTTCAACCATGTTGTAAAATACAATTTTATTAAAATATTTTAAAGCAAATTAAGCATGATTTTCACAAAAAAATAAATGAATGATTTTTAGTCATTTTAATTAAATGCATGAATTGATTATAAGATTAGTGCATATTTCACCAATCAATTAAACTACTTCAATTTACATAAATTAAGTTTATATAAAATTTTTATATTTTAATAAGAATGAGAAAAGGCTTATGCAAAGAGTTTGGTTGACCAAACAATTGCCAAAAGAGATCTTGTTTTTTCTATAGAATATTTAATTTCACATGTTTCGGTTATTAATAAACCTTTGAGATAGGCTAGGTAATGAAGAAGGTTTCTTACCATTCCTCACCATTTGAATTTAAACCTTGGAATTGACATTTATAGAAATTCATTTTTTGATTATATCTAATCGATGTAAAGTTTGTTTTGAAGATCGACAGAGATTATTGTTGATGGATGCACAAATCGGTTAAGAAATATAACTTTATTTGGAGTGTAATTATCAAAATCATTCTAATTTAATAAGTTGATCAAAGATATAATTCAGATAAAAATTGTAATTAGAATAAACAAAACTTTGATTTGGTGAAATTTTATTGGCTCTATTAAAATCTAACTAATTCAATCGATCTAATTAAATTCAATCAAAACTCGGTTAAGTAAAAAAAGATTAACTTCCAAAAAAATAAAGAAAAAATCAATGCGTTTAGATTATTATTCGAAACTTAGATCTCCCATATTTACTAACTTTATCAGCTCGCCTACATTAATATAATTGATTTAATTTAGTTTTAAAGAGTAGATAATTAATTCACAAGTTGATTTATTAATTTAGATATTGATTAAAAATGTAATGGAAACAACATTTTATAAAACTTTAAAAATTAAATTTTATATGGATATTAAAAATATCCATAGGTTAAGCTTATATTACTAATATCCAATAGTCTGTATATGAAAATAAACCTATAACATGAAATATAGTTGTCGAAACATCTTTAATATTGAACTATTTTTTATACCTTAAGTTGCTACGACATCTCTAATTTTAGATTTATTTTTATATTTTATGAAGTAAAGGTCATGATTTTTTCTAATTAGATTATATTGAGTTTATAAATTTGAAAGATTAACATAAATGATATCAAATTTTTTTCTTTTTTAATAGTAATTTTTTTTTTTTTTTATGATACTTTAGATTTGTGAAGTTGTTATTCATGTTTTTTTTTTTTTTAATTTTATTTTTATGAAGTTATCCTCATCATAACTTTATCCATTTAGTCAGGGTTTGCTCTAAACAATTATTAAATTGATCTTTTTAAATTTAAATTTTTCGTAGTTTTATTTTTTATTTTATTCTATATTTAGCTTCATAATTTATTTTGTTTTCTTATTTGTATGATTCAAGTTGTAGTTTTATTTTTTTATGTTTTTGTATTTAGTTTTATAATTTCTTTTATTTTTTTAATTTAAGTTGTGAAATTTTATAAACTAACTTAAGCTTATTAACTTTTTTTATTTTTTTTTATTTTAATTAATTAATTAATTAATTAATTTGAATTA